TTGTTGGCATTCAGGACAAGTCCGAATGTATGCATAGACGTCACGTTCGAGGTGAGGCCAGTAGAATTTTCATAGAATTTTAGCTAATGTGTGTTGTTGGCCTTTGTGTGAGCCATCTATTAGGCTGTCATGATATTGCTGTAAGATTCTAGTATGCTCCATTTCTGGTACATATAGCCAGTCCTTCTCATAAGTTAGGAGGTCATTTTGTATTGCATAGCATTGTAGCCTTGATCCTAAGGCATGGGCTGGTGTTGTCTTCAACATCTTGATTATTGTAAGGGCATAATTGTCTTGGTTCAGTGGCTGAATCCATTCTTTGTGATTAAATGGCATTAGCATGGTCTCGGTGCTGGCAACTAATATGGCTTGCAACTGGATTCATTGTTGACACTCTGTACATTGGGGTGCATAGTGTGGGTTCTGCAAAAGAATGTCCGCAACATGGTTAACTTGTCCGGGCATGTATTTGATCATCATGTCAAATTGTTGTAATGTTTCAACCCATCCTGCTTGTCGTCAGGAAAGATGTGGCTGCATCTGGAGGTAGATCAGACTTTTATGGTCAGTGAAGGTGTGGAAGAAGATACCGATCAGATATGGGCAGTTATGTTTCAAGAACTTGACTAGGGCTAAAAGTTCCTGTTCATGAACTGGATACTGCATCTCAGCAGGTTTCATCTTACGGGAGTAAAATGAGACTGGTCATAGATGGGGTAGCACTTTAAGTTCTTGAATGGTTTTCAGCAGCGGAGATGGTATCTCATCTTCCGGGTCTGTGGTCTGGGCTAGCCATCTGCCGATCGCAAATCCTGATGAGTCAGTGAAGATGAAAGTGTCTTTAGTCAGGTCGAAGGTCACCAGGACAGGTGCAGTGGTAATAGCATTTTTGATCTTTTCGAATGCCGCTTTTTCTTCTTCTTTCCATTGCCATGTTTTCTTTCCAGATTGTAGTTGTGAGAGGGGCATCACAATTTCTGCATATCGGTTGATGAAGTCAATGAAGTAATTAGTTAATCCTAAGAATCATTGGACATCATGATGGTTTCGCAACTGTGGCCAGTCTTGGACAGCTAGGATCTTGCTAGGAGCAATCCGTATTCCATTTCATCTGATAATATGTCCACAGAACTCAACCTCAGGTTGTCCCCACATACACTTGGCTGGGTTCACATAGAGTTTGTGTTCAGTTAGGACTTGAAGCACAATATCTACATGCTTCTGGTGTTCCTCCATTGTCCTGGAGAATACCAGGATGTCATTGAGGTAGGCGAGGACTAGGTCATCATAATGCAGGCCAAGGATCTTGTTGATGAGGCGCTGAAATGCAGCTGGAGCATTAGTTAATCCGAAAGGCATTACCAGATACTCAAAGTGTCCAAATCGTGTATGAATGGCGGTCTTTTCCACATCGCATGGGTTTATTCTAATGCGATGGTAAGTGTCTTTGATGTTGATACTTGTGAAGAACTTTGCACCAGCTACACAATCTTGCATCTCTTGTAGATTTGGTAGCAGGGTCCAGTCCTTTTTGGTTATGGCGTTTAGTCCTCGATAGTCTAAACATACTCATAATCCCCCATCCTTCTTCTTGGCAAACACTATCTGGGCTCCCCAGGGGCTAGTGGAGTGTCATATTCGTCCTTTTGCTAGGAGGTCATTGAGCTGTCGATGAAGCTCCTCTAACTCATTGGTACTCATATGCCGTAAGGGGTATGTGAGTGGTTTAGCTCCAGGAAGGAGTTCAATGCTAAAATTGTCTTCCCCTCTGTCTGGGGGGAACTCGCCATTCTCGGTAAAAAGCGTGTTGTTTTATTTATTGAGTGTAACCCTAAGGAATCCTGTGCATCCATTATCGGCTGTGTCAAACTCTCCTTTTCTTTTCTTGCCTTTTGCGTAGAGCCTTGCTACATGGAAACTCACATAGCGATCATCGACTTCCTCTGGTTGGATCCTCCATGCTGTCAGGTATCTGTTACATTTGATATCTTTGTCGAATCGCTTGGAGGAGCATTCATCCCATATCATCTTGGGTTGAATAAACCATGAGGGATGTTTGCCGAATCCTCTCAGATGGGCGGCATTATATGAGGCAGTGGCTTCCATGCTCTGCTGGTCCATTGCACTTCGATGTTATGGCTCACATTGTTAAAGTTAAACCGAAGGGTTGGTTGTTGTGCTGTCCAATCGATGGAGACTTGCTTAAGGAGTTTTAATAGAGGTAACCCTATCACTGCATCAATGCCAATGTTTGCTACAACGAAAGGGATCTTCCCGAGGTTTATGAATCCTCGAGGTTGTGAATTGGACAAGACTAGTGAAGAGGTTATCATCAAGTTTGATAGGCTCTGAGAACCTTCTTCGCCCCATTTTATCCGAAGGGGTTGCTCTGGAGCATACTGTTCGAAATGATGTCAGTTTGCAAACTTCTTGTTGATGAGGTAGCTTGTACATCCAGTGTCGAATAATATTCTAGCAAACTTATCGCCAATACATCCATGGATAATGAAGGGTTCCTCAATCTCAGGACTTTTGATCTTGGGGTCATTGCAATGTAATGGTTCTTCCTTCTGGTCCTGATCTGGTAGTCATGGTACAATGACCTCGTGCATGTGTACCATAGCCATTGAAGGGATCAGGGCAGTCAGCGGCTTTGCTAAAAATCCTCCGTTCATTCATCCTCAAAGATTTCTTCAATTGAGGATGGTTCCTCTTGCTCTGCCCAGGTGGGCTCGTCAACCTCCATGGATTGGTACTCAATTGGAGGGTGTTCAGTTGTTGTTGATTGAACCTGGGATTGGGACATTCTGACCCCACATCCCCTTCCTGGTCCTGTACCTCTGGTAGAGGGTTGTCCGGGTCCACGAGGACTTCCTGGACCTCGTGGCGACTGCGTGGGGTACGGGGCAGCTTGTACTGGAGTGGATGGGCATTGACGAGCATAATGCCCTCTTCCTCTGCAGTTATTGCAAACAATGCCAGAGCTTGCTCTCGTTACTGGCCAAGTGGCACCTCGGGTTACTGTGGATGTCATGCAGCCACAGAAGGATCCTCGTCCACAAGTGGACAGGCGACTTGGTGTGGTTGAGGATGGTGCGGGCGCACCAATTCGATTGATGAGTCCCTGATCATTATATGCCATATGAAGGCTCTGCTGTAGGGGGACCAATATATCTTCTTCATCATTCATTAGTGACAGCATTGTTTTCATTGAGATGAGATGATTATATAATGCTTCTCCTACTCCACGGTTTCAGCATATGCCCTCCATATAGTATCACAGAATGTTGGCATCTGGTATTCTAGGTCAGCCTGTAAGTCGATGGCCTAAGATATCCTCTCCCACAAGGGCATTAAAGGCCTGGGTGTACTCTGTGACACTCTGGCCCATGATTAAGTTCCAGAACCGCTGGTGGAGATTATTTCGAGAGTCATGGGGGATGAACCTGTGAACAAAGGCAGTTTCCAGCTCCTCAAGGGTATTGGCATGATGGTTGAAGCTAGCCCAGTTGTGCCACCAATCTAAAGCTGGACCTGTGAGATAGGTTTGGATATGTGCCTCCACATCCGATCTTCTTCCTTCATTAGCATGTGCAACACAAAGGTAGCTCCTATGGGCTCCTAGGAACTCTTCTAGTTGACGAGCATCTGGTGTGCCATTGTACATATGCAACCATGCCCTGAGTGTGCTGAGCATTGCATTAATCATCATTTCTTGCTGGCGCTCAATGCGGCGGGCAGCTGCAGCATTGGCCGCAGCTTGTTGCGTGATCACGTTCCCGAATGCTTGCTGTTGCGCTAGGTTGGTGAGGGTTACCAGGAGCCTGTCTAGATGACCAGTGCCTGGAGGGATTGGCAGCTGTGGTGGGGGTGGCATCGGTGCGGGCCCTGGTTCTTGCGGCGGCTGGTTGTTCCATGGTACAGCCTCGAATTGGAAGACTGGGTCCTCTCCCTCTTCCTTGATGGTGATGAACGGGTGATCATCTTTGGACATTTTGGATTGTTCACGGGGCTCTGGGCTGAAGGTAGAAGCTTCTGAGTTTTTATCAGAGGCGAATGGGTCGAAGATGATAGAGGGTCGAATGTCTTCTGATTCCGTATCATGTGTGGTAGTCTCAGGTGGTGCTACCATGTAATGTCAATCGACCAGATTGCTTCAGTCAACGTTTTCTTGCAAATTGTTGGGCCCTGCGAGAGGGCTGTATAAAGACTTTGTTGTTAATACAAGAGAAAGGGAACTATTGATAGTTCCTTGCGTGCTAACTAGGCTAGTTGTTCTTCTAGTTTTTTCCTTGCTTCCTGCCCTCCTCCTTGAGGGGCTTTGGAGCAGCGCTCTTTTATGCTTGCTCCCTCCTTCGGCAGGGTGTCGGCATGAGATTTCCCACCTCTGCCAGTGCAGTCCCTCTTGCACCAATCGGAAGTGATTGGCACTAGCAAAATAAAGGGACAAATGATCTTCCAACTACGGGGCTGCCGCAGAACCGAACGACTTTGACAGGTCATTGGTGCGGCGGGGCTTACATAATCTAACTACTGTTACGTGCTGTGCCATACTTTGGCCATACATGGCTACATGATCACTATAGCTATATATGGGGATATGAGAGACGCGTTGCAAAAATCTAAGTTTGCACTTGCGTGCGAATACCAAAGGACAGGTCTACCTTACAGTATGCTAAGAAGTCACTATTGAATATACTAGCTAGCAACGCAAAAGAAATCTAGCGATGCGCGTGGCGCAGTGAAGATGCGCCCGCATGGCATAGCGGTTAAGTGGCTTAGAGGTCTGCTACCTGTGATTGCTAACACCCCCACTCAGACCTGTCAAAAGTCTGAACTGCTATTTTTCTTTACAAGACAAGAACCCATCGCCCACCAACTTTCTACACTTTCACACAGACTTCTATCAACTGTAAGACCTGCCACAACAGCATTGTGGACTTGCAGAGCTCATTTGGCTAGCTGCTAATGGTGTTTCCAGTTTTTTTTTTTTTTGTATTATGGCCCCCAAGGAAGAGAAGGGGAAAGGCAAAGTTCCCAGTGAAACTTTGCGTACCTTGTTCTTGCGGCGGTTGTGCAAGATGACGGCGGAGAGCTCCGTGGCCAGTTCCAATGTCCCTTTGGTCCCTACGGAGCAACCGGGGCTTTTCCAAGCCCCTCCTCCTTCAGAGGCCAAGACCACCACGCCAAGTGTGGGGTCGAGTGCGGGACGATCAGGCAGAGCAAGGGAGACTCCTGTTTTGGAGGAGAGACGCAGGAGAGGGGTTTTTGAGGCTGTGGTGTTGACAGCCAAGAGAAAGGTGGCCACAGCGGTGGGGAAGGTACCCAAGCCTGCGTGCGAGCTGAGTGCAGTGGAGGAGGAGTTTGTAGAGGCAGCTCATTGGTGCACCTTTTTGCAGCACTGGAAAGACCGGGAAGAGGTGTTGCAAAGGCATTTGGGCCTGGCCAGGACTGAATGAGATGTTATGCGGTCACTCCCCGTACACAGTCCCATCTGTTTGGGGGTGCTGGGCACATATTGTGGTCTCCAAGATCTGGCCCTTAATAGATCTTGGAGAAGAGGAAGGCTGCCTGCCTTCCCTCCCAGTGAAGTCCAGCGTGAGAAAGCCCACAGAGCAAAGAAGAAGGCTGCTGGGGCAGTACGTGATGAGATCGCGAAGCTGACCAGGCTCTTGGAAGAGGTGGTGACGGATGAGGGGGAGGAGTTTGCAGAGGTGATGAGAGGGGAGGAGGAGGAGGAGACAGAGGAGGAGTTGGAGGGTGAAGATTTGGAGGGTTGGGATGGTCCTTTTGGTCCCTTTGGTGGATTTGGTGGTGCAGGCTGAGCAGGCGGACTTGGTGGTTTGGGTGGTTTGGGTGTTGCTGTGTAGATAATATTATTCATATTCATTTTTTGCATTCCACCATTATCATCCAGTTGCACTTCCACAAAGTTTGCTGCCACGTACGTGGGTCACGCGCACATTTGAATATTATCCAGTCCACTCAGGATTCTCTGTCTCAATCGATTATGATCCTCCTGGGTTAATGGCTTGGTGAAGTAATCAGCCATCTGCTCCTTCGTATCCGTGTCCAGAATTGCAATTTGTTTATCCGCAATGCCTCCACGTATACCATGGTAATGCACATCAATATGTTTCATGTGTTGGTTTATGGCCTTGGTTTGGGCTAAAGTGGCAGCACTCTCATTGTCAATATGGAGAGGGGTGGGTAGGAGCTGGAAGCCAGCAATGGGCCTAAACACATCCGCGAGGATTTGGCATATCCAGAGGATCTCTCTGAATCCCACACTTGCTGCGATGTACTCTGCTTCTGTGGTGCTATGGGCAACACAGGTTTGCTTGCTGCTTTTCCAATGGATGGGGTAGCCATTCCAGGTAGCTAGCAAGCCAGACGTAGATTTGCAATCCGAGAGGTTGCCTTCATAGTCCGCATCCATATACACCCTGAGACCGCAGGGATCTTTCTCCAGGGATGTGTAGGTAATGGCAAAGTCCCTTGTTCCTTTCAGATATTTGAAGATACACTTGACTGCCTCCCAATCACATTGGGTAGGTGTGCTGACGTTGTGCACAACATATCCGACCGCAGTGGCAATATCCCATCGCCATGAGATGGAAGCCCAAGTAAGGGCCCCCACTGCTTCTTGGTATATCTTGGGGTTAGGGAAATGTGCTGATTCTTGCATCTGTTGACTGTGTGTGGACACAGCATATGGTGTGGCAATTGCGTGGCAGTTCATTAATTTGAAATGGTCAAGCAGGTTGTCAATATACATCAGGTTGGAGAACTTGAGGGTCCTTATGTCCGCGGAGATGTCATACTCATATGCCAGTCCTAGATGGTTGGTTATGTGACCTTGGTCCATAAAGGAAAACTTACTATGAAGCTCCTTCTTTGACTTGTTCATTTGTTCAGGATCCTTGGTGAGGATCAGTAGATCATCCATGAAGATCATTATGATTATGAGCATTGACAGGGATGGCTGAATGTCGGAGTTGGTGCGCCCTGGCGCGGCATACTTGTAGAACACACAGGGGCTTATTTCCACCATGCGGTAGCCGAGTTCTTCCAGGGCAGTTCTAAGGGTTTGGTACCAGAGGAGGGGTGACTGCTTCAGGCCATATAGCACCTTTTTCAGCATCAGTACCCAGCTTTTCCTTGGCTTGTTGGGTAGTTCAAAGCCCTCAAATTGCTCAATGAAGACTTCCTTGTCCATTTTGCTGTTGAGAAAAGCAGTGATGGCATCCATTGAGTGTATGTCCAATCCATGTTGGACCATGTACATGAGGAAGAGGCAGAGGATTGGAAGTGGTAAGGTTGGGGAATACATATCATTGAAGTCGATTCCTGGCCTTTGGGTGAAGCCTTGGCATACTGCTCTGGCTTTGTATTTCTTGAATGTGCTGTCAGGGTTGAATACTTTGCAGCAAACCCACTTTGTGCCAATTATGCGCTTATGGGGCGGATGCGGTACAGTGACGTATGTGCTGTGTGCCTTCAGGGATTCAATTTCCTGTTGGCAGGCTATCAGGTAATCATTGGTATCAGGGGTAGCCATCGCCTGTTTGAAGGTGAGGGACTCAGGGTTTACTTTCCCTGTATGTGCGTCGACGGTGTATGCTTGGATGCGGTTTTCCCATGTGTCCAGTGCTTGTGTGTCATCGACAGTGACTCGGGGTTCCCAGGTAGGGTCCTTATAGCCATTTCACAAGGTATTCGGGCTTGTGCACGCGAGTCCAGCATTCATCCATGATGTAGTCAATTTGATACTCCTGATCGTCATTGGAAGTGGTCTCATCCAGCAGATCCATAGTGCTAGGGTCCTGCTGATATTTGAGTTCAAGAGGGGCATCTTCATTAAATTTGATGTCCCTGGAGGTCACGATGGTGTTGCGTACCGGATCCCAGACAAGGTAGGCCTTGGTGCCATCTTGTTGGGCATACCCCACTAGGTATGTTTTCCTAGCTCTGTTGGCCATCTTGTCCCTACCAGCAGATGGGACGTGGGCATAGGCAACGCAGCTGATGCGCCTCAGGTGCATGACGTTGGGGTGGCATTGGAACAGCAGCTCATGGGGAGTTTTATCGCCCAAGGAGTTGGGGGTAAGGTTGTGGAGGTAGGTCACCATTTGTATTAGGATGGCCCACAGTTTCCATGGCAGTTTCATGTCCACAAAGATGGTGCATACTCACCCTAAGCTGGTATGGTTCCAGCGCTCAGCGATACCATTCTGTTGACTTGAGTATGCCATAGTTTGTTGGTGCTGGATCCCACAGTCCGTGAGGTACTTGTGGAAGACACCATTATATTCACCTCCTCGGTCCGTATGCACAGTGCATATTTTCTTGTCCATGGTGCATTCAATCCATGCCTTATACTCCTTGAATTTGGAGAGGATGGTTTCTGCTTCCTTGTTTGGGATGCAGTAGATAATGCCATACCTCGAGGTGTGTTCAATGTATGTGAGAGCATAGCATTCTCCAGTCAGGCCTGTAATTCGGAAGGGTCCTTGTAGATTGGAGTGAATCAGCTCACAAAGTTCTCTTGGTTCCTTGTTGGCTGCTGGAAATGGTGTATGGGATGATTTTCTGAGTATGCATGCCTCACAGTCCATATGACTGTGAGCCCCCACTATGGGCCAGCCAAGCATAGCCGATGCCATCTTTCCTAGGACATGTTGTCCTACGTGTCTGAGTCTGGCATGTGCAAGGGCAGGTAATACCTCTGTTGCACAGACTTCCATATCTGGAAAGCCCTGGGGTTTCAGGGTTCCTTCCAGGTAATATGCATTGTTCCAGCATATGCTGCTCGCAATTTGTCACCCATTTTTCGTGAGAGAGACTTCTCCACTACTGTGGAAGGTTACGTCCTGTAACAGGCTAGCAGGGACAAGAAGACAACAGAAAACTAGGGAAGACTTGGTTACTACTTGTTATTTTTCTCCTTTGAGGGGCCTCAGAGAGGTCCTCTTTTTATAGACAAAGGGGCTGACAAATGCTATATCCTAACTACCCAATCAGATCTCACCCACATCATCCTAAACTCTTTGTCAGCCTATTGCACCATTTGCAACCAATCAGAACTCATACATGTCATCCTAAACTATTTGTCAGCCTATTGCACCATTTGCAACCAATCAGAACTCATACATGTCATCCTAAACTATTTGTCAGCCTATTGCACCATTTGCAACCAATCAGAACTCATACATGTCATCCTAAACTATTTGTCAGCCTATTGCACCACTTATAGCCAATCAGAAGTGAGACAAGTCATCCTAAATACACTGTGCCACATGATTGAAAGGGGCAGATGCCAGTGTGTCAGAATACTCATCTAATTTAGCCAGAAATGGCTAAATCTGCTTATTTATCTAATTCTGGTCAAATGAATGCTGACACCATCAGCAAAGTCATGTGACTACTAGTTTGGAACCACATCTAACCAGTATAACCCTAGCACTGACAGAAGAATTCTGTCACACTCCCCCACTTTAAGATTAAGCTCCCTTCTGGGCTAGGAACTCCTTCAAGATTTCTCTGCTATGGGGTAGGAGGTTTTCTTCTGGTTCCCAGGTGTTCTGAGAGGAGGGATAGCCTTTCCACTTGAGGAGGTAGAGATTCTTCTTCCTTCTGATCTTGTGGTCCAGAATCTTCTCAACTTCCCAAAACTCTTCTCCTTGCTGGATAATTGGCTCAGGCTCAGGGGGTACCGGTCTGGTAGGGAAGTCCTCTGTGGGGTCCAGGTAAGGCTTGAGGAGTCTCACATGGAACACTGGATGAATCTTCATGGTGCTGGGGAGCTCCAGGGTGTAATTCTGAAATTCATCCTTGGCCTTGATTCTGTAAGGTCCAAGCCAGGGGTGAAGAAGTTTCTGGGCTGGCCTCTGGGCTTCGTCTTCTGGGGTGATACCTTCTCTAGATAGCCAAACTTTGGAGCCTAGGGGGTAGCTTGGGGCCTTGCTGAGAGACTTGTTGGCTTGCTGAACTTGTCTTTCTTGGGCCAGGACCATGTTGGCCTTGGCTACTTGAAGCAGTTGCTGAATATACTGGTGGAAGTCTGTTGCTTCAGGATCATGGCTTTCTCCTGGTGGTGTTGCTGGGGTCCTGGGATGCTGGCCATTCTCCAAGTAGAATGGGGTAAAGCCTGTGGTTTCTGAGACACTGTTGTTGTAGGCAAACTCAGCAAAGGGGAGAAGATCTTCCCAATTCTTCATGTTGTACTCCAGGAAAGCTCTGAGGTAGATCTTCAAAGTCTTGATGGTTCTCTCTGCCTGTCCATTGGTCTGCTGGTGCCTTGCAGTGGCTAGGAGGGTGTTGCAGCCTAAGAGTTGCATCAAGTTGGACCAGAATGAACTGGTGAACTTGGTGTCTCTGTCTGATACAATCACTTCTGGGAGGCCATGGTGCTTGAAGATGTGCTTCAAGAAGAGCAGGGCCAGGTTCTTGGCTGAGGCTCTGCTGGTGGTAGGGATGAAGTGGCCTCTCTTTGACAATCTGTCAACAATGACAAAGATGGCATTGTGATCAGAGGAAGTCATAGGTAGGTCAGGGATCAGGTCAATGGAGATCTGGCTCCATCTGGTCTTGGGTACTGGGAGGGGCTGCAGCAAGCCTGCTGGTGGTTGCTGACTAGGTTTGCTTCTCTGGCAGGAATCACAAGACTTGACATACTTCTTAATGTCCTTGTACATCCTTGGCCAGTAGTAATGCCTTGCTAGGGCATCATGGGTCTTGGTGATGCCAAAGTGTCCAGCATACTGAGTGTCATGAGTTTCTTGGAGTAGGCTCAACCTTAGGTCTGGGTCACTAGGAACAAAGATCCTGTCCTGGAAATAGAGTAACCCATCTTGATGGCTGAGGTACTTGAGCCTTTGTTGCTGGTCTTCTGGTCTCCTGGGGTCATCCAAAGCTTGGAGGAGCTCTTGAAGTTCTGGGTCTTCTGTGGTACTGGTCTTCAATCTCTCTTGAAGGGTGCTGGTGGTGTGGGTCACAGCATTCAACTCTGCTGTCACCAAGGCCTTGCACTTGATGCATCTTGGGGCCAGGTCTGGTCTTCTAGACAGGATGTCTGCCACTGTGTGGAGTCTTCCTGGGCCATAGCCAATCTCAAAGTCAAAAGATTGGAAATTCATGACCCATCTGGCTTGTCTTCTGGTCAAGAAGGGCTGGTTCTGTAGCCACTTGAGGGACTGGTGGTCTGAGATAACTTTGAAGGGGGTTCCTTCCAGGTAGGGCCTCCAAACTCTGAGGGCATCATGGATGGCTAACAGCTCTTGTTCTCTGGTGTCATATCTGGTCTCTGCTGGGGCCATCTTCCTGGAGTGGTAGGCAACTGGTCTCATGGCCTTTCCCATCATCCTGTCCAAGCCATGCACCGACTGCATAGCCTGAGGCATCAGGGAAGACAGTGGTAGGCAAGGCTGGGTCAAAGGGTCTGAGTACAGGGGCTTTGGTGACCATATCCTTCAGCTCCTGAAAAGCTTTCTCCTGAGGTTCAGACCAGGTCCAGGGCTTGTCATTTCTCAACAGGTCTGTCAATGGTGCAGCTTGCTCTGCCAGGTCCTTCAGAAAGCTATGGAAGTAGTTCACCAGGCCCATGAACTGTCTGACTTCAGTGACACTCTGAGGGGTGGGCCATTCTTGAACAGTCTGCACTTTCTTGGGGTCAAGCTTGACTCCTTCATGTGAGAGTACCTTGGCCAAGAAACTCTACTTCTTGCTTGAAGAACTGGCACTTGCTGGGGTTGGCATACAGCTTGTTCTGCCTGAGGGCTTGCAGAACCTGCTTGAGGTGGTGCAGGTGATCTTCTGGGGTCTTGGAGTAGATGAGGATGTCATCTAGGTAGACAATAACAAAGATGTCCAAGAAGGATCTAAGGACATCATTCATCAAAGTCATGAAAGTGGCTGGGGCATTGGTCATTCCAAAGGACATGACCAGGAACTCAAAGTGACCATATCTGGTTCTGAAGGCTGTCTTGGGGATGTCTTCTGGGTGGACTCTGATCTGGTAATAGCCTGACTTCAGATCTAGCTTTGTAAACACCTGGGCTCCATTCAGCCTATCCATCAGCTCATCAATCCTAGGGAGGGGATATCTGTTCTTGATGGTGATTTTATTCAGAGCCCTGTAGTCCACACACATCCTCAAAGAACCTTCTTTCTTCTTAACAAAGAGGATAGGTGCTCCAAATGGGCTCTTGGATGGTCTGATGTGGCCTGCCTCCAGAAGCTCTGAAAGCTGCTTCCTCAGTTCTTCTAACTCCAAAGAAGAGAGGTGGTAGGTTGGTCTCCAGGGGGTCTGGTTGGGGTCACTGAGTTCAATTCTGTGATCTACTGATCTCTCAGGGGGAAGTCCTGGGGGAAGCTCTTCAGCAAAGACATCTTGATAGTTTTCAAGAAGCTTGGTGACTTTGGAATCCATGGTGTCTGGAGGGGTGCTGGTATCTTGAGGGTTCTTGAGATACACAGCAAAAGCTGTTGCTGTCCTCTTCTTCAGTGTTCTGGCCAACATCTTTGCTGATACCATGGTGATAAGATTGGACTTCTGGGATTTGTTGGAAGAGCTGGCCTGCTTAACAAACCATCTGACTCTGGGGTGCTGGGAGGTGGTGAAGGTCACAGTGTTCTTGTTGTAGTTGATACTGGGATTCCTCCAGGCAAACCAAGGTATACCCAGGATCAAGTCAAACTTGATTGGGGCTACTATAAAGTCTGACTGTTCTGTGTAGGTTCCTACTGAGTACTGAAGACCTTTGACAAAGCCTATTTCTTGGTGCTTTCTGTCATCAGCCATAGAGATTTCTGCTCCAGAGAGAGAATGAGTCACCAGTTGTGCCTTCTTGACAAAGGACTGTGACACATAGAGTTGGTTTGCCCCATTATCCAGGAGAATGGTTACTGGGATTCCTTGGATTCTACCTTGCACAGTCAGCAAGTGACTCTGGGGAATCCTTGGCCCTTTGGGGGTACTTAAAGAGTATGGAGCCACCTCTACTACATGGATCTTGCTTTCTTGGTAGGCAGCCTGGGTGGTCTGGGGTTCTGGGGTTCTCTGGGGTTCCTGGGTTTTCTGGGGTTCTTGGGTTCTCTGGGGTTCTGGGGTTCTCTGGGGTTCTTGGGTTCTCTGGAGTTCTGGGGTTCTCTGGAGTTCTGGGGTTCTCTGGGGTTCTGGGATTCTCTGGGTTTCTGGGGTTCTCTGGGGATCTTACCTTCTGATCTCTCACAGAAGGTCTAAGAGTCTGGGGTTGTTGTCTAAGGTGGTGCTGCCATGTAACAGGCTAGCAGGGACAAGAAGACAACAGAAAACTAGGGAAGACTTGGTTACTACTTGTTATTTTCCTTTTGAGGGGCCTCAGAGAGGTCCTCTTTTTATAGACAAAGGGGCTGACAAATGCTATATCCTAACTACCCAATCAGATCTCACCCACATCATCCTAAACTCTTTGTCAGCCTATTGCACCATTTGCAACCAATCAGAACTCATACATGTCATCCTAAACTATTTGTCAGCCTATTGCACCACTTATAGCCAATCAGAAGTGAGACAAGTCATCCTAAATACACTGTGCCACATGATTGAAAGGGGCAGATGCCAGTGTGTCAGAATACTCATCTAATTTAGCCAGAAATGGCTAAATCTGCTTATTTATCTAATTCTGGTCAAATGAATGCTGACACCATCAGCAAAGTCATGTGACTACTAGTTTGGAACCACATCTAACCAGTATAACCCTAGCACTGACAGAAGAATTCTGTCACACTTATCCAGGCAAGGAGAATCAAACGAGGGGTACCATCTTCTCGGACTTTTTGCAGGATTCAATCCTTGTCCACTTCGGCTGCAGCAGCAATGTAGAGGTGGTGGGAACTCCATGTAACTGTTTAGGGGTCATTCCCAAGGTGCCTGGCACCTCGCTTTGGTTCTTTGGTGAAGAAGCTGAGCACGCAGGTGATACAGTGCATCAGATAAGCCGAATGGCTTATCTGATGCACTGTATCAGCCGGCTTATAATATGATATACCCGGTGTATAATATGATATACCCGGCTTATAATATTCTATATAATAAGCTGTATTGAAGTGTTTGCCCAATGCATTGGAGTGTTTCAAAGTGTTTCAAAGTGTTTCAAAGTGTTTCGAGTCTTCCAAGGTGTTTGTCCAAGTCCAGGACTATTGATGAAGGGATGTGTGCATCTATGCCGAAAATTTTCTCTGACATACACGTAAAATTTTACGCATCTAATATTTCACGTGTCCAAACTTGACATTTGCTTCTTCTCAAGACTCCATGGTTCGTTTCCCCTTGGGCGGTTCGTTTCCCTTGGGCAGTTCATTTGGTGATTTTACTCGAGCAAATTCTTGCTACTAGGTTCAAACGCCACACTTTATGAAATCACTTTATCTTGCCACTAGGTTCAAATGCCACACTTTATGAAATCACTTTAGCTTGGGACTCCATCTCTCCACCTTCCTTTACTGATGGTACTCGGGAGACCTTCAGTCTCAACACTTTTTGTTGTTTGTGGTAGATTGTGATAATCTCCATCACTTGGTCTTCTGTATATCCTGCCTCCATTAGCCCCTGCTTGACGTCATCCACCAAAGCATTTAGCTTCTCCTCTACTAGTGATGCCACATACATATTTGAACCATCTTCGCCTATGATTGTCCTCACATCCTTCTTAACCATTTTCCTTTCAATTGCCTCCTTTCTACGGCGATTCGTTGTTACGACTGCTTGGTGCATCTCATTGTCAACTGTGAGTTGGTAGAACCTCTTCATCTCATTTAGCTCTTCTTCACTTGCTCGCCTCATCATTTTCTCCATTGTTAATTGCAGCTGTATTCGAATGTTGTATATGGAATCGTTTTTGAAAAGAAGGCTTCGAGCTGGGGAGACCGGCGACCCTCTTTTATAAGCGGAAAAGGAACTCTCCCATCTTATCGATAAGATGGTCCAATAGATGGCCTCTCATCCTATCGATATAACATGTTCGATCTCTCATCGACAAAGTGGGATGCCATCTTTTGCTTACCTAAGCATTGTAACTCATGCAAATAAGTCGCAGTGAACCAGGTTTCCCTTGCTATCTGGGTAGCGAGGGTAAATGACCCCAATCTCAGTTTCCATGTATAACATACAAGTTGACTTCGGGGTCATTCACCCTCAACCTACACCACCCAATAATCAACACAGGTAGCACGTGGTTATCTAGAGTACCTTTGGAGAGCCGAGCCACCTCACACCAGACATAGCGCACTTACACGTAAAATTTTACGCGTCTAATATTTCACGTGTCCAAACTCGACCTACTTCAAACTCAACACTGGTTCTAACTCGACATTAGTTTCCTTATGTAGCCAGCATGCAGGATGACTAAGTCCCCGCTTTTGCTTCTTTTTTCTTTAGTCCTTACCCCCTCTTTTACAGGGGGTATGTAGAGCCGGTTTTCCCTCCATACCCCCTGTCCAACCCCTGTCCTTCCACTCTACATAGCATCAAGGGCTACCCCCTATAACCCCTATCTTTTTACATATTTAGTTTTGTTTTCTAAAAGAGAGAAGGTTCTCTCTATATATTTTTTTGTTCCGTATATGAAAAACAGGGGGTTACAGGGGTACGTCTCTACATGTATGGAGTCAAAAGTGACAGGGGGTTGAGCTCTTCTCTCTTTTCCCTACATGCTTCATCCAGAGCCCAAACTGCCTTTTCAATGCTTTTTCAATTCTACCCCCTGTTACCCCCCACTAAATATGTTGTTACTCCTCATCGTCGAAAAGTGTCGCATTATCCCAACATTCATCACTAACAGTTGATCATGTATCCACGGAAAAAGTCTGTAAATTTCTTGTCCTTTTGTGTCCCATCCACATTCCACTCGTCAATTTTCAGTCGAGATTCCTTGACATAATTGTCAAGGTAGACTTTCAATCGCTCCACAAGATGACCTTTTTTACCTTTGAAGTATTCCTGGATTTCTCGATCCATTTTTCCTCGGATCTCTGCTGTAGTAACAAAGCAGTCGAGATCATCAACCTTTTCAATGTGTTCATTGATCCATTCTTCTATGTTATCAACGTCTTTGGTGACATCTTCCTTCCACTTACGGCATTCAGCCGGGATGTCATTAAATCCTTTTTCCATGTACTTCTTGTGCCCTTCAATCATCCACTTGAGTATGTAAGGACGCCACACAGAGAAACGTTCGTCGATGTGAGGATTTGCTAAGAATTTGTATTGATATTCCGATTTTTCGTACTCAGCGGGACTAAGGAACTTGGCTCGAAAAGGCAATACAAGCATCCGCTCCAGGAAAGGATTATCACTGGTATCGTATTTCGGTTGGTTTCCATTGTTAAAAATCATGATCATTTTTGTCATGAAATCGACAAACTCAAACTCCTTTGAAGATGGTCTACAACCTTTGCCTCTAGTAGCGCCTCCATTGCGTCTTTTCATCTCTTTCGTGTCTATAGTCTTCTTTTCATCCATCTCATCATAGATTGCCAGTCGGTCTCCTTCGTGGGCAAACATTGCTGCATTATGACCATTTTGGTTCGAGAACCTGGTACTTACATATAGATGATCGTTGTTACCTTCGGTCGCATAAGTTCCCATAGCAATGGTGATCATCTGAGCAAACTTTGTCTTACCATTGAAGCCGTCGCTCTTGTCGGTGAAAACGCAAAAGATCTTCTCCTTATGATCACCACGTAGACAGTATCCTGAGAATATTTGAGCGATCTCTCGTTCGTCATCCTCTGGGAAGTATTGTGCCACGACACCTAATACTTGCTGATATGTGTCTGGGTCAAAATCTTCATCCCGTTCAAAGTAGTCATAGCCAACAGTATGCGTGATGAAGATGTCCTTTGTGTACTGCTTGAAAGTATAATCCCGCAGATCAAAGTACCCGTTATTGCATCCAATAATATTAGGGTTGTTATCTCGGCATTTCAGGAAGCCCTCGTTGTACACCTCCGTTTTGAGGCAAGAGATGATGGATTTTATGTCGGTGTTAGTAGTTAAAAGTTTGTGCCCGCGTTCGACTTTCCTTATTTGTTCCAAGATGTCGGCTTTCTTGTCTTTATCCTCTTCTTCAGATAGACGATCATAAAGTTCTGTTACGTACTGCTCACACTGGGGGTTCAACGTGTTCTTCATAAATAGCCGGACAACTTGATCGGCTATGATAACCCACTGCTTCCGAAACATCCAAAAGTTGCTACCATCGAAGAGAATGTCACCCTCGCTTTTCGCCGCTAGTGCCCGGGCAATACCGAGATGGCTAGGAGAAGTTAATGCATGTAAAAGAGCATCATCTGATTGGATAGGACTGTTAATCCGAGTGAACAATTTTTTGATGCCAGTATGCTTGTGAGGCTTTGCATCGGTCTCCTCATCGCATTGCTTACATGTAAACTTGATTCCTGACTTCGTGATGGAGAAGTACATAGTAGCCACAGATACATCATGATTGGCGTCGATGAGAAAGCAGTGTTTTGTCTTGACAAAGACATTGATTCCATGATCTAATTGATCGGCTTTCCCGAGATCTCGAAGCAGGTACACATTAGGAAATGATTCCAGAATAACTTCCTTTGCCATTTGCTCAAAAGAATCATTGGATTTCTTCGTGGACTTTGTAGAGGTCTTTTGCTTTTTTGGGGCTTCTTTTTGATCTGCCATTTGAATAGCCCACTCCGCACATTCTGCATACTTGTCGATGTGTTGAATCAAGAAGGCTTCTAATGGGTCGGCGGTATCAAGATGTTCTAGAACCCGCGAGTCATATTGGCTCTTTCTCTTCCCCACGCAGCAAATCTTGCGATTTTTTTCATAGACGGAAGGGTCAAAAAACGAATCATGCTCAAAAGTCTTATCACGAATACAAGCAGGCGCTTTGCTCATGTCGGGAAAGTAGTGAAGCAAGCGGTTTCGCATCTCTTTATGAGTGGTGCGCAGGTCAGCAAAGATGCGGAACGATACTTTCCACTTGCCCTTCTCTACATATTCTCCTGTCTCTTCACTCTTCTCTTTCTTAGACGCAAAGCCTTTCCTGCAAAATGCACATCGGTAAGAAAAAAGATCATTTAAAAATAAGGATTCAAAAGTTTGCAGAACAAAAATTTGAATAGCATCTTCTTCCTCATCCGAGGGTAAATCTTCTTCTGTGGCATAAGAAAGGTCGAAATCCACAAAGGCATTTATCTCATGGTCATCCGGTAGAGCACCAATGAACTCTGTCAAGTAGGGATACTTCTTGTGATTATTGACATACTCTTCAACATCCCACTTGATAATATTATCAATTCCAAAATAGTCTTTACGGAATAACATCTTTGGCTTTTGGTCGAGTTTCAGTTTCTTGTCCATAGTAACGAAGGTTCCTTCAGATTCTGGTTGCTTATGTTTGGTGATTTCTACAGTCATGGTTTGTTGATAGTCAGTTGAGATTTTTATCGCTGTTCCTAAATGCAATAATTGCAGTTATTGAGAAAAATGCAATAAACGCACAAAATGTTTTTTTTCTGGGAGCTTTTATAAACATACAAAAAAGCATCGAAATGGTAACCTTAGATGAAATCAAGAATGTACTGTCGAGGCTTCCTTCTAATGTATTATTAACTCAATTTGGGAATGAACTTGCTGGGACATCGTTGAGAAAGCCGTCAAAAGAAAGACCGACTTTAGAAGATAATGTGAAGATGTTCAATATATCTAACATTGAAAGGGGGATACAACTAATTCCAAAGGTGTTTCGGGTACACCGAAGTATGTCAAAAAGCACATCCTATGGTTTGAAGCATGTCTTAGAAGAAAGGACTGGACTATATATGATGAATGGTGATTTTATCATGGCAATGATGCTCCTCGGTTACCGGTGTAACTTTAGAGGAGGGGTGAATCCATTGATGAATTGCCAGGTGATCGATGCCACAAGTTGAAATCATTTGCTCGGAAGGACACCTGCGGCTATTCTCTTCGTTTGAGTTGTAGCAGTTGACAAAACACTCTGCGCAGACATGATGCCCACAATCGAAGATGACAGGAATGTGATTTTTCACTGCGTTGTTAAGGTGTCACTCAGAATCAGAATCATCTTGACGCATGAAGTGATCAATGGCTTCTGCTAACTTCAGTTCCTTGTACTTGATGTAGCAATGTAAACATCTGATATGTCGAGCCACCCAAGGGATCACCTCTAAGCAGTCACGACACGGTCTTTCTCTGGGATTTCCGGACATGTTGTATATTGACATTAAATCAGCTTTTAAATGTGACGTCTTTCGTTCCAGATAGATCAAAGTAAAAAGAGCTGCTTATGTAAAGACCCATAAAAATCCGTGCATTGGTGCACGAAAATCTAGACAGATAGATCATAAAGTCAACCCTACTGGTGGTAGGGTCGTATGGTACTGGTTCATTGGTTTGTGGCTTACAGATGCGTCATGTCACGCAACACGAAAATTTTGCATTTTTAGGTTCGCAGAGGTGTGGCGTGGTGCCCATCAATCGATCGATTCGAAAATTTTAGCTTATATAGCCCCTGTCGCACGATGGGGATACTAACGCCACAAAAAATGACCCTGATCGATGAGCTAACGACGGCTGTGCGGACGTCCCTGAAAAGCACAAACCTTGTAGAAGATGCTGTTCACCAAACGTGTCGAGAGAAATTCCACCTCATCCATGTAGGCGACATCTCCGTGCCGAGTGCTTCTTACAACACACTCTACGATCTCCTCTTTGCCCATTACGACCATCTGTTCAAGCTCACCACTGGTCGTGCTCAAAACGGCAAGCGTCGCAAGGAACCGGATGTCCAACCAGATCCGGGGACGAGATCCAAGAAACGACAGAGGACGACCGAGCAGCGTGGTGGACAGTCTTCTGCTGGTCGAGGCACTGAAGAATTTGCTATTCCTCACCAACAAACACCAGTGCAATACGATGCCAATCCGCCGCTATTGTCAAGCAAAAAGATCACCGATGCCAACATGGACTTCTTGGCTCGGTTTTTCCAGATGAAAGCCAACACACGGGAGGAATTAAGCCGCGCGCATAGGAATGTCCTTCGACACTATCATCCGGACAAGGGGGACCAACAACAACAGCAATGGCGAACGGAGTGGACACAGGCCATCAATAATTGGCACGATCTGATTGGTAGATGGATCGAAAGGAGAAACAGGCAGTGGAAAAACAGTGTTGAATGTGGACGTGCCCACCAACCCGCAACAGAATCCACAACGGCTACAGCACCCA